TAAACTTAAGAGTGATTGTAAAACATTCAAACAACTTTAATTATTTACTAAAAAATATATATTTATGTCGTACTTGTACGTAGACACGTACGACTGACATAATAGGTAAATATGTGAAATTAAATGTGCATCATAGATGTGCATGGATTAGAAAAACTATTTGTGCTGCTTTCAATTGCTTTATACCTTTTTGCTTTGGCGTAGCAAATGGGGGAGCCAAATGAGGCAGCCCTAGAATCCTCTTGACCAAATTAGACTCTATCAATTATTCAAATACAAATATTATTTTGGTATTTTGGCCCCCTCTAGGAAAAGATCGTTGCTACGCTTATGCCTATGTGTAATTTTGTACTGTATAATATAAAATTAAATTTTTAATTAATAATAAATGGTAATAAAAATAGTTCAATAATAATAAAAAGATGCGGAAAAGTTTCTCTGCGTTCTGACTTTTTTGTTTAATGGTTATTATGTGTATGATATATTTCAGACATTTTCACGTTACGCCAAAAATTGATATCGAACAAATATAAAAAAGTAGGATAAAACTATTACATTCGATAATGGCTATTATGTTACTTTATGTTGAGTTTTTGACGAAAACAGATAAGAATTACTAAATAGAATGTTAACCTTGAAAATGTAATTGTTACATTTTCCAAGTGTTTAGTACTATGATAGTAAAATAATAATAAATTCCGTTTTTTAGTAACAATAAATTGCAATTATTCAGAAATAAAATTTATATTTGTCAAAGAATAATTGTGAGAAAAATCGATATGGATATAAGTGGTAGGTATTTAATTATACTTTAACCTACCAAATTAAAATATCTCTTTAAGGTATGCGACACGAGTATAACACCAGAATCAATTTACTTTTAGAGGAAAATCTGCAGTCGAAAGATCCCTTTGTTATTTTTGATCAATGGTTTAATGAAGCAAAGAAATGTGATAAAATAATTGAGCCGAATGCTATGTGTCTTGCTACTGCTAATAAGTGATACAGTAAAAAATACATTTATATGTTTATGGTTTATAACTTCTTCATTTTTTACAGGAATAGTGTACCTTCTGCAAGATTTGTTCTTTGTAAAGGTTATGGAAATAAAGGCTTCAAATTTTTCACTCATTATACTAGTAGGAAAGGACAGGAATTGGTAGTATAATAATTATTTAATAATATCTGTACTTATCATAACCCTGTACTCTAGGAGGAAAATCCACAGGCAGCCTTGACATTCTATTGGGCTCCATTTAGTAGATCGGTAAAATCTTGTTCTTTTAATATATTAATTACGCATGACATTAATTATAACACATGCTAACAATTGATTACAATTTACTGTAGTATATTTTTTGCGAGTGAAAGGAATTACCTTGTGGATAACCTTTAAGCTTCATTTATTATTTTAATAAATGAAAATAAATTAACCGC